TCTTTTGTGTCTCTGGTAAGATTTATTCCCAAGTATTTTATTTTTTTGGTAGCTATTGAGAACGGTATTGATTGAAACCAGAATCTTTAAAAAAAAAAAAATTGACATGATAGAGATTGTTTGCAAAGATTATCAATTTCCATGTGACATACAACCTCCTCCCCAAATTCCACACTGCTCACACTGCCTTTAATAATCAAGAAGCCCTGGCATGTATATATGTTTCTCTTATGAGTATTTAGAGTGAATGTCAAGCTAGGTAGAATTTGTAAGTACAGATTTATGACTATACATGCTAGAAATGTTCAGAAAGCAGTTTTAGATGGGTATGCTTCATTTGGGAAGGTTGAAAAACAACTTTCACTATAACTCTTTGGCACATCTTAAATCTTAATCTTAGATCTACTGGGCTGTGGTTTGTTGTTGTTGTTGTTCGCTGCCGAGTCGGCCCCGACTCATAGCGACCCCTCCTTGGGTTTCCGAGGCAGTATCACTACGGAAGTAAGATTGCCCAACCTTCCACTTCTCAATTCAGAAAGATATTGAACCAAAGTCCTCTATGCAAATCAGTGGTTATGAAGGTATGATCTTATAATACAAGGCCTACAGAATGGTTAAGGGAAAGGATCTATGAAATCAATTCAGCAATTTCAGTTATATGATCATCTTCTAGAATCCCACAATTCTGGCTCTTCTGCAGAAAGCATGAGATCTACTCACGGTGGCCCACCAGTACAAAACATCATATCTACAAAGGCAAATGTCTCTATATTTAAAACTGTCAGTTTCACATGTGGTCATTCCAGTCCTGAGTTATTCAATCAACATCAGGTAATTTTGATAGAGGTTATGTGCACAGAGGCTCTGAAAAGATTGCCACTCTCTAAACATATATGTGGGTAAGTTTTCTACTCACTAACTTGAGTGCATGAATTAGTGCTATAAAGTGAGTATTCTAGTGTATCTAGGCACTGGTGCACACGATTTCAGGCTTCTTATTAGAATGGGAATGAAAACTGAATCTGAAAAGGAAAGGTACAATGGAATACATTTTACACAAGTGGGCATGACCCTGGGTTACCTATGTCAGCGATGAGGCTACCCAGCTTCTGCTCCTGGAGGAACTGGCGGACACGAGGCCAAGCTTTGCTCTGCAGGTCACTGAAGTAAGGCGCTGTGCTCTCATACACGTCATGCACATGCTGCTTCTCCAGCTGGGCAGCTTCATGATCCATCCTAGGAAAAACAGGACCAATCCAAGGAATGCAAGTCACAGTATGCACCAGATGGCTGAGGGAGGGTACAGATTCCGTAAAACTAGGAATCTATGACTGCAAAGTCCCTGGGAAGTACAAAAGATTAATGCATGAAAGTTTGGTGATTCCAGTCCACCCAGAGGCTCTCAGAAGAAAGGTCTGACAATTTACTTCCAAAAATTAGTAAATTTTTTGGTAAGTAAATTTACTTCCAAAAATTTAACAACTCTATGGTACACAATTTTACTCTGACATACAAGGAGTGGTCGTGAATTGAAGTCAACTCACAGCAACTGCAAAAGTTGTGCTTCTCTTACATTACCTTATAAGCTGCCAAGAACACAGCCTTCACTATAACCAAAAGACTAGCAAATGTATAGTTTTAAGCTGTGAAATAATCTTCAGAAAATAATAGTTTTGGAATGCATTTATCATAGTTAGTTCCTGTTCAAGATCAATTCTTAATTTTAGGAAGTACATCCAAAACTCCAACCAAATTGGCTCACTTTGGATCAGATTGTTTTGTATGATGCTAAATAGATTTTGAAATTTTATAGCAAGTAAATCATCAATCACTACAATTCAATCCCAAAACACTACTAATTTTTATCTTTTTAATGTCTTTGAATTCCAACTACTTCTCCACATCCCTACTACTGCTATTATTGTTGCTGTTGTTTTGCCGTCGAGTCGGACGGGTTTCCAAGGCAGTATCACTATGGAAGTAGATTGACCAACCTTCCTGCCAAGGAGTGGCTGGTGGGTTTGAACTGCCAGCTTCTGGTTTTGTTATTGTTGTTATTTGCCGTCGAGTTGGCCCCGACTCATAATGACCCCTCCTTGGGTTTCCGAGGCAGTATCACTACGGAAGTAGGATTGTTAGCAGTCCCAAAACCAAATCCACTGCCATCAAACCAGTTCTAACTCCTGGAGATCTTATGTGTGTCAGAGGAGAACTGTGGTCCACAGGATTTTCAAGGGCTGATTGTTTTGGAAGGAGATCTTCAGGCATTTCTTCCTAAGCTCCCCCTGGGAGGATGTGAACCTGCAAACTTCTGGTTATCAATAGAGCACTTCACCAGTTGTTCCACCCAGGGGCTCCTATTATATAGTGCATGCAGGCTCCTATTTTTTGCCTCAATTACTTCAACAGCTTGAAAACAGATTTTCTGGCCCTTCAATCCCTTTTCCTCAATTATTTTGTAAGTATTTTTCAAAAACATAAATCTAACTGTGTTCCTTCTTATCTTAGACTTCTTCAAAGGCATACCATAGCTTGTATGATTATGTTCAGTTGGTTTAGGATGGCACACCAGTCCCTTTCTGACCTGACTCCACTTATTTCTCGAAGGCTATTTTGCCTCATCCTTCCCCATCATTGGATGAGTCTGTCATACTTAGTGACCCAGGGTTTCTCAGTTGGGCCACTCTCTCTTTCATCCAGGGGCTTGGGCCAAATGTCACTGTTTTCCTTAGTTATCTAATGCTGCTATACAAGAAATACCACAAACGGGTGGCTTTAACAAACAGAGATTTATTTTCTCACAGTTTAGGAGGCTAGAAGTCTGAATTCAGGGTGCCAACTCTAGGGGAAGACTGTCTCTGTGTTGGCTCTCGGGGAAGGTCTTTGTTCTTTGGTGCCCTGGTGATCTTCCTGTGGTGTGGCATCTATTGTCCCACATTTCTGCTTGCTTCTCTATGCCTAATCTGCTCTTTTTATAATCCCAAAGTGGTTGGTTTAAAACACACCCTACAATGATATGGTCTCTTAACATAACAAAGAAAATGCAGTCCCAAATAGAATTATAACCACAGTTCAGGGGGTTAGGATTTACAACACATATTTTTGGGGGACAAATTCAATCTGTAACACTTAGCTAACTTTTATTCATTCTTGGTGCACCTCACCTCTGCCAGAAAGCCTTCCTTGATCCTTCCATGCAGCATCAGGGCAATCAGAAACAAGTGGGAAAAATACAAGAGCAGATCCCCGTGTTTCCTGCTGTGAGGCTTAATCCTTTAACTATTCTGTTGTGGCAGATGAGGGTTGGTGTCCTATGGGAGGGGCCAGAGGCTCAGGTTGTGGCTCTTTACCAACCAATATGAAAATATTTTCAATAATTTAAGAACCCACTTGGCTTTACTGGTACATATCAGGTAGTTCAGCCCTCCCTTCCATGCCCCTCATACCTCTGTACAATCCCATGGATACTTTTATGGATCACAAGGTCCTGAATAGTCTATTTAGATATTTGTCTCCGATACTGGCTAGGTTTTCCTTTAGAACAGAGAGTTGTCTTATTTAATGCTGAACTCTCAGCATTTAGCACACAGCAGATCCTTAATAAATAAACAAACAACTAGAATGGAATCTGACTCTGAGAACCAAGGATAGCATTTGCTTTGGCAGTTGTTAGTTGCTGTCCAGTGGTTCCGGTTCACGGAAACATTATGGACGACAACAACAAAATGCCTGGTGTGGCACCATCTTCATGATTGTTGGTGTATTTGGGCCTACCGTTGCAGTTGTTGTGTCAATCCACTTCATTGAGGGTTTCTCTCACCTCAGTGGCCTTCCACGTAACCAAACATGATGCTCTTTTCCAGTGATAGGCCCTTCTGATGACATGCCCAAAGTAAGCAAGTCCATGTTTCGGACAATATTCTGTGGTCCACAGGCTTTTCATTGGCTAATTTTCAAAAGTAGGTCACCAGGCCTTTCTCTTATTTGAATCTGGAAGCTCTACTGAAACCTTGCTGGTATTCAAAATACCAGCGCATATACTCCAGTATCACAACACACAAATCACCACAGTGCAACAAAGTGATAATCAGGTGTTTTTGTAGGAGAAGGAGTAATTCTCTGAGGAGTGTGGGAAGGGAGACTGAAAAGCAGAAAACCCCATACCTGACCACTTTCAGATGGCAGACAGTTTTCAGATAGTAGTGTGGGGAGAGAAGGGATTTTCCCAGACAGCCTCTGCCTAGCCTCCCATCCCAGCTACCCCCTTTCTGGGAAGTAGGAAGCACTTGGTTAAGATGGGGCCTGCCACCTTATTCTACTGTAAAATAGCAATTTTTCTCCTTTGTATTTAATAAGTATCTTGTGGAGAGACATTTTGAGATTGCAAATATCCTGTTTCTCCTATTTTACCCCAATACTTTTAGCATCCATTGATAGTTCTTCCCTGAAATAATTATTACTATCATGATCCCAAATAATGATTTTCTAATTCCCTCATTCCTTTTGCAGTTATTAGTTGGAATTCTACTGCAAGGAAGCTTTTCAGGACAAATATTTAAGAGATTAATTAGCAATAGGTTGTCCTTTACCACTATGGATCTGCAAAAAAATTACAATCCTGGCAAAAAAAAAAAAAAAAAAAACCTAGCAAACTCCTAACAGTACAAAGCTAATTTGTGAGGTCTGACAAAATGGAAACAGTTTATATTACACCTTCAGCCAGAATTTACAAAGTAAACATATGAACAGTTATAACTGCCTACACACTAGACAAACCCAAACACCCAGTGCTTTCCTTTTTAAGCACAGTCTCAGCAGACTTAAGTCTATTTCAAAATTTTCCTTCAAGGAATCAATCAGGCAAGATCATTTAGAGAACACAAACAAATAAATTTTCTTTTATTACACTTGCAAATGTAAAAGTTGCTAGCAACTGTCATAAACTCAAGTCCTTCCAATTTGCATTAAAGAAATTGGCTCCAATTTCAAACTCAAAATTTGTAATATCTGAACACAATCCCTCAGAGACCTTTCTCCATGTCTTCCCCTAAATTGTCAAGAAAGTTTTAAGAGCTATTTTCAAAAGTGTGAGCATTATGAAACCATTTTATTTTTATTTATATCTTTACTGTTTAATTTTTTATTGTACTTTACCATCAAAATTTATTTGTAGGTTTGGGGGTCTCTAATATTTCATTTTTGAAACTCTGTGGGTTTAAATTCCCTGAAATAGTTTCCATATGAATTATATACATAAAAAGCAAATTTCTTGTGAATTTGGTAGCACGATTAAGGTAACAATATTAACACTAAAATAAGAACACAGGGTTTGAAGTAAAGCAAGGCAGATAAAGTTTGGTTTAGTTGAGCTACCTACACTGGTTGCTGTGGTCTTTGAGAGCCATAAAATATTCTGGGTAAGTAGAGTCAGTAGTCAAAACCTCACACTGTGTCCCTCTTTTGAGATCCAAAATGCACGTGAGCATACTAAAGGTTTTTGAGAAATCCTGCAGAAGAAAAAATCCTTTTTGATTTCATCAAATCTGTTTCTTCTCAAACTTATTGGGCCTACTATGTTCTTTTCTTTTTTGAAATACTTCTTATCATATCAGAAAAATAATATTCTTCAGAAGGCATTAGGGGAAATGTTAATTGAATGATTTGCAATTCACAAATGCCCCAAAACAGAGGGAGTTTACCTGAATATCCTTCTTCATACATGTAAGTTTAATGAAACATGTTATGTAGGAAGACTAATTCATGCTCTTTGACTTTTAAGATCTATAACATTCTTGAAGGTATAAGCTCATATACATTTTAATTAGAAAGTACAATGAATTGCTCATCATTGCTGATCTCAAGGAGCTTGCTTCTCTGAGTCATATGGCATACTTCCACTGACCCCAGCTACAGCTCACTGGTGCAGGGTTGAAAGTTGGACCTAAAGACAACCACTCCATGGGAGGGGTTGACCTAATTTTGAAGATTTGATCTAAGAGACATAAATAGTCAGATGACTGCAGATGTTATGACAGTGGTCATTTGGAGTCTGTATTATGGATTCAATTTTTAGCCATATATACATGATGATGGAGCTCTGGTGGTGCAGTGCCTAACGCATTTGACTGCCAACCAGAACACTGGTGGTTCAATCCCACCAGCTACTCTTTGGAAGGAAGGTTGGGCAATCTATTTCCGTCATGATACTGCCTCGGAAACCCAAGGAGGGGTGCTA